CTCATCAATTTGTTTCTCACTGGCCTAAGAAGAAGACTTAATTCTTCTGTGGTTGTTTGAGCCGATTCGGTCAGCAGCCGTGGTCCACCTACAGTACGACTTCGCAAAAGAATATTGTCTGCGTAGTCTAAGTCTGTCAGATGCACAGCTGTACCTTTGGCTTAGCCCCAGTCCACTACCTACGAGATAATCAGCGCTCTGTCGCGATATGTTATCGATGAAAATGCCAGATAGCGTAAAAAAGAGGTCATCACTTCTTTTCTGGAATGTCGCACTGTGAGTGATTACCTTTCACACTGTGAGAAGGTGAAGTTATATTAATGCTGTTTCTCAATCGATGAATGCTGTGTAACACAGGAGTTGGTATTACCGGACACTGCTGCATGTCTCAAGACTGAGATCACGCAGTGACAGCATGATTAAACCATTCTGAAACCTGTCAGGTTGTTTCTAATCCGATTCACCCATTCATTTTTCATACGTTCCTGATGACTTAGGGGGCAATTCTTTCCTTGAATTGACTATAGGGTACCCATATGCCAAAGTGTGTGCGAGTTTCGTCGTCGTCCAGGTTTTGTGCCTTTGGCTGGAATGATTAAACTTAGGTTGTACGGAAGATGACAAGCGAATTAGTACGATTTAATACACTTTTTACTGATTCTGAAGAGGAAGAACCCCTAAGCGATTAAGAACTGTCTGAAAGTTTTCCACCTACGTACGGTTTTGACACGCCAGGCCGGCGGCTTCTGTAATTGGATTCTCGCAACAGAATCTGACGAGCTAGTGATGTCATACATTTGCTCGTTCTTCTGTCGAACCACTTAATTTGTCGCTCTTGCAACTCAGAGGTGACGTTCCACAGCTTTATCGCAAACAGCGCCTCCAGGTTCGTTACTCGACGATATGGTACAATCACATTTATGACTGCTCTTTGGAAGACTAAATCTTCCCTTAAAAGTTTCCTTAAAAATGGTTCAACATTTTAGGCGTGGTGCTTCTATTGTTTTCATGCGGATCATCGGTGGCATAAAATCTATATATCAAAAGTTTGGACAACTGATTACGTATTCTTGGCAGCGTGTTACTATTTCCTACTATATTCAATATCAGCAGCCAGAATTTAAAAGAATGACTAGAACATTACCTGCAAAGCTGCGTACTTATCCAAATCCAAAATTTGCTTCAGTTCAGCGGCATAATTCGAATCCTTCTTTTTCAGCTTCTCTAGAAACCTTTCTAACCTGAATTGCTTCCACTGTTGAAGGATCACCGCGTTGTCGTCTGAATTTGAAGAACTGTTGGCAGTATTCAGGGTCGGATATCCCGAATACGATCCAGTAAAGCGGTTCCCCGTCCTGCTGCTGTTGATGGTCGAAGAATTGGTGTCATTAGAATTTCTTTTGGACATGTCGTTATTCCGTAACCCCGCTGTCGAACCGAGGTACTTGAATTCCGACGAGTGACCAACTTTTTTGAGCCAATTGAGTTTGTCGTTGTACCTCTCGATTTCCGATGAAAGCAATGCAAAGTTGTATTCAGCCATCTCCAGCTGTTGTTTTAGGGCACTGATTTCCACTTCGTGTTTCAACGCCAACTTCTCGGCGATGGTGGTGAAGCGTGACAAACAAGTTCTTGTAAATTTCAGCACCTCTTGAAACTCCTTCGTTAATGCGAGTGCCTGCATTTTGCTCTTTTTCCAACTTACTGCTTCCTCGTTCAGATTACTAATGTCTAACTCGATGTGCAGTACGTCATCGGCTGCCCTGTCTATATTTCTTAAAAATTCGTTCAGCTCCTTCATCGCCGAACTTTCCTTCAACTCCTTGATGCACATTGCGTCAGTTTGCTGAAACTGATTGACGAAATGTTTCTTATCTTTTTTCATCGCCTCATCATACTGCTGACAGCCTCTGACTTGCAGCAGCGCATGCTCTCCTTTCAAAATGTCCAATTCATACGTGACGCGATTTTTCTCCTTCTCCAACTGTTCTGATTTGCGCTTGGTGGCAATTAGCTGCTTGCACGTTTCATTCAACATCTGCTTTAGGACTGCATTTTCTTTCTCTTCTTTCACCGTTAGGTCTAAGTCACTGATGTGCCTTACGATCATCTCTCGACCTTCTTCAGCTTTTCTTCTGTCTTCGGCCTTGTACAGGGCCAACTCAGCGCTTATTTCCTGATAGAAGGACAGTAACTCCAAGTACTGGTTTCTGAGTTGGTCCCGCTCAATCATACACGGGCCTTCAGGGTTGGCCGCACTCTTTGCCTCAGGCTTGTGAAGACTAGCAAGAGCTTCGATTTCGGACTGTTTATCCGGAAGCACTTCCTTCAGCCAGTCCAGCACATTCAGATGCTCGGCGACCAGATTGAACGAGTCATGTGCCGCACTTACGTAAACATGTTCGTCTTGTGCACAAGCAACAATGTCCCCCGCTTGTTCAACGGTACGCGACATGTCGTTGACCAATGCAAACGGAGAATAAATCCGAAATACCTCGCTCGGTTTCAGATTGCTGATATTAGCTTCCGTTTGTACCTCTTTGTTCAACAGCACCAGGAACGACCTGACTTGTACGGCCCGATCAACCGCTGGTTGTCTGGACTGCTTCGCCTTGCAGAGTTCTAGATCTTTCAGTAGGGCTTGTTGTTGTTCGTTTCCGGCTCGCAATAGTTCATCCTTTTCGCTCTGCCAT